CCCTAACACTGGATGTCATCCTTCCTCCATCGTCTGTAACAAAAGTGTAATGTGACAAATTTGACGATTCTGTTTTAGAGATAGCTACTTAGGTTATCAGTTAGGGTATACCGGGTAAGGGCTTTACCCTCTTTGTAACATAATATGCTCGATAGACCTCACGAATATATAAAAACATGTTACCCGACGTATCTGTGGATTCCGGAAGTGCCTGTTTTCCATTTAGAATATTTTATTCCGTGTAGAGATCAGACAGACCAGAATAGTTAAACTCTAGCTCACGATGGGACCAATCAATTCAGTTTCCCTGTTTCATCCATCGTTCGCCGGCCAGGCAGTACTGCCTTGGAGCCCCCTAGAAAGAACAGACACGTCCTGCCCATGGTAGGCATGCTTACAGGCCGAAAAGGAGCAAAATGCAATCATCTGAACATGTATCTACAAAGACATTATAAAGACTAGAAACAAACAGCGAAGTGACTTACTGAGCGACAAATTTACGGGTAATCTTTTAACAGAACCTACCTAAGACAATCAAATAAAGGACAGAACAGTAGTCTATAAGTAACTTTCGTGTATCCTCATTCGGGTGGCTGTACGGGTAACCGTACGCTGGTTGCAAAAAATGAGTTTTTTTCACTAGATTTCACTTATCTTCCTCATTCAGATAAACCCATGAAATCAAGAAACCTAATTTGATTGTATAGACGTAACACCCTGCTCATAATTTTGCTGAAAATTTTCTGACAACCCACGATCGGTTTTGCTCATCTTGGGGCTCATCAAGTGGGCGCAGTTACCGAATTTCTCTCAGCCTCACATTCTAACTGAATCGAAACTGCGAAGTGCAGCAAATACGTTCACACGCGACAGCGTCAGCTGCGGTTCGGGTGTATCTCTCGTGAAATACAAATTAGCGTACAAATGAGTATATTTCGCTAAGTTCGTGCAGTTTAGGATCAAGTAGAAGGTAGGTTTGAGGGAAACTCGGGAAGCGTAATCTGAAGCAGCACATTCACTTAAAGAAGAACAGCATGAACAACAGTATCAGTTGGGTCTCCAATGAAAACCAAATTATGGTACGAATAAGCCTAATTCCAATGTAGCTGTTGTGCGTTTAATGGGCTGTAGGCAGTGTTATTCCTATCAAAGCTTTAAGGTGGTGTGCCGTGTCTCGGCAGATCACTGGGAGTTTACGCCAACTCGACCAATTGCTGATGCTGATTCAATATTAGTCCGACTGCAAACTATTATCCGTTTGCGTAAAAACAATTCATTAAAGGCATTCAAGTTCAAATGACCTAAACAATCACAATACATGTGGTTTATTTGGAGTCTGTGAATATTTCAACGATTTTCACATGATGCAAACGGTTGTGGAAGTTGCAATTTCTTCGAACAATATGCCTCATTTGCTTTCAAACTGTTCACCGAGACATACTTAGGTGAATCCATTGGTCACCAGTTTCCAGATCTGTGAAAGCGTGTAAAACACGCTGTCATACATCCATCACTCTTTTATAGGCATATCGTGGCGGCAGCTGTTTGTATGGAATGAATTAGTCCAACATATCTGTTGGATTCGCAAACATTTTGTAACTAATCAGTGTTTAACAACGCCCACAAAATCGAAGCCCATTTCTTTAAGTCTGCATTATCGGCTGAAGAAAACGTACATCCGTGGAAGTTCCCTGGCGACTTAAACCTAGCTAAAAAAGTTCGTTTTATTGCGGTCAGAAGAAATCAATCCAGGGATTTTTCATTGAAGACAAGAGAGTATTTTTCTCTGTGCATCGACAGAACACAAAGTCTTTAGGGGGAAACTCAAAGCAATTTTGGCAAGACCATGGTGCTTGAAGACATGAGAGCAGTGATATCATATTGGCGGGCAGTTGTGAAACCAAATAATGACTTGTTTAATAGTTTACAGGAAAACAAAGTGTTGATATTTTAACACAACGAGAATCATAAAGTTGTGTGCCTGCGTCAAGCATCACGTAAGACTAAAAATATCAAGCGTGTCGGATTTCTAAATAAAGAGACAGCATAAAACATTTAAGTGGGTGGGAAATGGGGCAGCGAAGTCGGATTATTCTAAAATAACTTTGGATCTGAACCAGTTGGTATTCTTGCTAGTAGGAGAATTAATTCACTGATTGCACCAAAGTCCACCGTACGGCCAGTATGTTTCAGGCGACAGTCGGTGGGCAGTCTGTCTGAATTAATTACTTTCTCCATATGCAAATTCGACATTCGGGTCTGAGCGAGATCTTGCCGGTTGAAAGTGATTCACCTCGTAGGCAATACAAACATTTTCTGATGCACTTTTGCGAATGATTGGTATTGCTCCCTTGATATCGGTCGTTTCTTCTTCTATTTGTAATAAACTAGGGCAAGGTTGGATAAGCTTTCTGAAGCGCTGAAATTAGATAAAGAATAATCACACTGATACAAATAATCCGGTTCAATAAAGAAATATCCCTCATCTTCCGTTGGAAAGAGGGTTTGTAAAACCTGACCTGCATTTTGAATGCATGGACTGGCGGCTACACAGTTGCAAATACCGCCCTATTATACGAACGTTTTTTGGGGAGCTGTGTGGTTTTATATCTTTTTGTCACTGCTATTCGTAACGTCACATCGGTAGTTATGTTGTGACCAGTGTACAGGTGCAGCCCTACCGAGGTGCTGGTTTTTCACCACACCTCCGTGAGTTGGCATATTTTGATGTCGTACTGTTGTGGCATTTTCCCTAGATGACCAAACAGTTATGCCATGAAGTACCTCGGGATAAATATAATCTGGCTTGATATCAGATGATGTTACAGGAACTGCGTAAATAAAGGGTCAAACGTCATTTGGGACACCTCAGTTTGAACAACTTGAAAAACCTTATCCAGTCATCTCGACAATTTGATGAAAACACCACGTGAAATATATCTGGACGTCTCGAACTAGAACGTTCGTAGACTTCGTTGGAGGGATTTCGATCGTCGGTAATTTGAAATCGACGAATTTAGGTGCCTGAAATCGTAAAATAACGAGAAGTGTTTCTGATATAACACAACGGAAGCTTTTATTTGTTGGCAGTGCATTGGTCGGTTGATCATTGAAACTAGTTCTACTAGGCATAGCTTAGGCTTGTTAAAGGACAATTCAGAAGTAGAGATTTTGTAAAATACTCACGTAATCACAAAAAAACATTAATTTCTTTTGACTTGGATCGAGATGCTACAAACTGCTTACCTCCGACACGGTTCCGGATGTCTTGCATAACTGGTAGATTGCCACGACCGGAATCGCTAACATGGGGGTCCCACTCAATGTCCACCCGACCACAGTGGCCCAGAGAGGATATTTATAATCACCCATTTGCAACGGCTGATAGTTTGAAAGACCATAGACGATGTTGAACTAGGGGAGTGAATAACAGGAGCAATGCGTAAGAATGTTTGGATGTACTGCGCACAGTGAAGTTGGATATTCATTCGTCCTCTCATGTAACCAGTATGGGTTTGTACTGTCAAACTGGAATGGGTCAAAACGCTGTCATTGAGGCTTATGGAGAACATTGTTATTGTTGTTTTGAGGTTGTTTTTAAATGCGATACGTCATCATCGTGGGAATTACGTCAGCGTTCAAAACTGATGCTTTGCTGCCGTTTGGCCATGATTTAGTTGGAAGTCTGATTGTGAAGAACCAAATGAAAGTGGGTAGGGAAATGATTTATTGCTAGTTTATCACCTTCGTTCCAAGGTGTCTACATCTCCAGACACTCATTCAGGCAATCCGGATGGAAGCTGACACCAAAAACGCCACTGAAATCTATGAGTAGCCAATACTTGAGGAGTCTCTAACCAGGGGCGGTGGTGGTCACGTGGTCTCAATCCTAGAGGGCGAATTGTATCGACAGCACCCACAAGTTTCGTAATATCTTTCATATTCCTGTACCAGTTTCATGCCTCAGTTCAGCTTCTTGAAAAGGACAAGTCTCAACCATACATTGAAACATCCCATAGTATAGCCTGATACACGCCTTTGACATTCAGGGATATGCCGTTTAATTACCATGGGTGTCTCAAATTGGCAACAGTAGTGTAAGCCAGACAAGTTTATTGGCTTCAGCTGTCACCCTACAATCGGAACTGATGCAAACTCCAGGATATGCAAAACGCCTCAGAACTTCCAGTGCCTCTCTCTAGAATGTGAATGGCGTTATCAGTGACTGCATATCCCGAAGCATCACCTCACGCTTTGCAGGTGTGAAGCTCATAACGAAGGACACGATAACCTTTACTTGCTTTCCAAAAACACTTGCGCCACCTTCTTGTCCTCAAAGGCGAGAAAGAATTCGTCAGTAGCTATCTGAATACTGGGGTTTTGAAGATCTTTCAGTGCTTCATCATCTCATTCATCACAAAACTGAATGGGTATGGATAGAGTGGGCATTCTCGATGTACAACCCTTTGTTTACGAAAGCATTCGGAGAGCCTTTCGTATAATCTCACATGCCTGATAATAAAAAGGCCTTATTATTTTACAAACTTCAGAAATATTTCTTACTGGGTAAGCGTGTCAGGAAAAAGGAACCGGACAACCGAGCCAAATGCGCCCCTAAAATTCAGCTGTACTTATATGGTGGTGTTCTCGCACCTGATGGAGTGGTCAAAACAACCCCTACCCAAATGGAATCATGTTTGATTGTCTTCTACAGTGATTTGTGAGACAAAGACAAAGGAGGACAAGTGACGCCAGGGGTATCCTTATGACTGAAATCAAGCTGATCTCCATGGGCTTCTCCCACTTACTACGAACCCAATATTAGAAAGTGTACACTATTACCGACTCTCTCCAGTTGTTTGGGTCAGTTTCTTTTACCTAAATACAGTGAAACAGATCAGACTTGTGCTGACTGTGGACTTCGCATCTATCTTTGAACAGTACGGGAGGGAGGTCATCCGGATCAGAAGCTCGCTGGCGCTTGAGGGAAAACATGCAGTCAAAACCTCCGAGCCTTAGGGGGTTCCATGTTCGTCATATCGGGTGCGGCGGACCCGGGTTGCGGGCAGCTAGTGGCCACAGTAAACGTTGTTCGAAGTATTCGGCCTAATGGTCTAGGCGTTCTTCATTACGAATACGATGTTTTGTCCCATGCAAGATTATATCAGCAGCACTCTACGTGCAACACTCGACACGGCGAATGATCCGACCTCATTCTGGATTGCGCGGAGACAGATCGGTCGGACCCATTTCAAGACCTGAAAGAATTCGACCAACGGGTGATAACCGGCCTTAATAAATTAGTTGAAAATGAAATTTAGGAAGAAACATGCACAATAAATTTAGCAAAGCTGCTGGTAGTATATTCAAATTCATCAAGATAGGATTGACTTGCGGTAGAATGCCAAAGCTGTAGGCGTCAACCAATGCAGACGAAGCAATTTTCTTACCAGTCATTTTCTGTATCAGAACAAAGAACGTGGATTTGTCGTGACCCCAGAAAGCGGTGAAGAAAAGATCTGTGTTCGCCACTGGGGAATTCCCATTTTATCAAACAGAATCACTACGCTTTATTCACTATATAAANCATTCACTAGCGTTCAAATTAGCCTTATTGTGCTTAGTCCGGTTCCTTATACTTCCTTAATTAGGTCATGTCAGGCGGCCACTTTTAGTTTATAGTTCCCCGACTGTGCATCTGCCTAGCTGATATGAAGCGATGAAGCTTGCTTGCTGGATGATCTTGGCTTGCTTTGACCCTCAGTTGTACCCTGTGAAGTACTGAGATCACCTGTGTGTAGGTTTTGAATCAGATCGAAACTGCTGTTGGCTTATGCAGTTGCCTTGTGATATGTTGCACTCTTTGCATTGCCCGATGAAGATGACTCAGAAGAATAAAAAGACTGACAATCAAGCTTTCAGTTACATAAACGCTCTGGAAACAAGATAATGGTTTCGAATATAAGGAGCGTTTATACAGACAAAGCGTTCCTAAAATATACTTCGCCAACGTTTTCTTACTCCTTACAAAAACTGGTTTTAAACGCTTACAAAATTTGCGAAATGAGATCAACAATTGCAAGTCAAACTAGCAACACTCATGGCAAAAGAGTGTGTCAGCCAGTGTGCAGTGTTAGTAAGTTCAACAGTCGAACCCGCATCGATGTGCCAACCCTCTACAGGAGAGTACATACAACTACAACAAAGCACTCTGTTTCATTTAGCTTTGTCCTCTGATCAGCTCTATTTAATTCAGAACGGAATCTTAGACAGAGTTAATTTGACTCTGTTTTTTAGAGAGAGAAAAATCAGAGCTCTCGGTGAACCCCAAATATTGGCACAATGATGAAAACCCAGAAAACTGATGCAAATTCGACTGGCGGTCTCTAAACTGATGGCTCACTTTCCGGTAGCACTAATTGCAAAATAGCAGATGGATAGGCTTGCAACAAATACGTCGTAGAACAATTCGAACCGTAAGATAGCCTTAGGTTATTAGAAACATGAAATAAATAAGTTATCCATTCGCCTAAAATAGCGCAAGATGAGATATAACTGCGAGGAAATGTTTCATATGTGACAGGCTGTTTGATTTGTGAGGTGATCTTCTTTGTCTAAGATAGTTATGTTAGTTCATTAGACATTGCCAGCGTGATGAAGCAATACGGTACAATTCTGACCATATTGTATCTTTGTGGTCTGGATTATATTTCCCATTTCAGTTGGCTTATATACGGCCACTTTTATGGGCCTGGATTCTTCCTGACAATTCAGTCGCGCGCATTTTTGAGGATACCTGACAATAAATTGTCAGACGGAACAATACAGGCAAGCTTAGCATTGTATCTTCCAAATCGTAAAATGAGGGTTAAAATTACGGAGTGATTTGGGTTTACACATGACTTAGGTGATTAAGTGTTGTAACAAAGCAATAGGAACAACTTCACCTGTGGCCCTGAGAATACTTGAACCAACTGATTCATCTGGAGTAAGGTTCACAGATGTGCTAAATAGATTACGAGAAAGAAACATCATCGCAGCCCACTCACCATTATGAATACTGGAGCAATGAACTTCCACGTGATTCGCCAAAAGATTCCCGGTTCGAAGCCCAGCATTTGTTTTACGTTTTTGCGAAAACGATCCACGCCTCAAAACATAAGCATTAGCTCGCGCATCTTATATCTTACCATAAATCCAGGAAATACACACTGTTTCACAAAATACAGCTAAAAGTATGGGATATTCCACGCACATCCTTTCGAACAGATGAAAGAAATATATCCCACCCTGAATTGGAAACAGATAAATAAAGAAACAATTACACCACGAAGGTGTTGTCATCAAAAGCAGTAAACAATTATCACAAATAGTTAACGACAAACCCTAGTAGTCCCAGCATTTTACAAGTTGCATTAAAAAAGAGCGTGAGGTTTAATTAATACAAGAACAAAACGCCTGCGGTTTGTACAGAGAACTGTGGTATACAGAGACCGTTACTGTATCTGCCATAAGGCGATGTGACTGCTGCGACATATGGCAACATGCACTGACAAAAGTTTTGAAAGCTTACCTTTTTAGTTGAGGTCAAAGGCATGGATTTTTACCGGATAATGGAGAGAAACAAAAGTGTTTTCAAAATATAACGTAACACAATATGGTTCATGGGTTTCGGTGCTCCCAAAACCGTATAGTGGTCGGTGCTCTTTGCGCAGTGAATTTTTACCTAACAAATTTACTGTTGGCAAGAGACGTTTTGTTCTGAAGGCCATTATTTTTCACGGTACCGTTATATTCAAAAGTGCATGTGACGCTCTTAATTGTCCCCTCATTAGATTCCAATTTCGATACACTCCCACCAAAAAACTGTTCAATCATTGGTGCTTCGTCGAATGCCATAATCAATTCCAATAAAACCAGTCTCTTAGTCAGCCCAGTAATGCTTGATATAAGAGCACTTTCTGTTAGCACATGGTGCCGTTTTTCTTTCAAAATAGCTTCGGTAGTGTCGGAGCTGGACTACATAGTCTGTACTAAACTGTAAACGCCCTCGCTTGCAAACAACCGTTCAGCCATAGCCCCTTTTCGGTGCCTAGCTGCTATGCCATTTGAGAGAACCACGAGGGTTGAAGCACTTCCAGGTGACTGCCAAGTTTAAACGGGAGAAGTCGGGATCCAGAGGATGGGTGTGAAACACGGATCTTCCAGTCAGTAAATCCGCTCTCTAACCATTAAGTTATCTCGCATCCAGGTTCACCTTATTTAAACCATTCACTGAAAAAAGGAATTTAAGTTGTTACCATTCATGAAGCGCTCTGAGGTTCAAAAATTATTCGTCAGGACTTGGATGGCTGTGTTGCCTAATCAAGTACACGAACCGTTAAGTTCACACGATTTGTCAGCCGACAATAGTGTACAAGTCGAGATGAGCTACCATGAATACAAAAGAGGACCAAAGAGAAGGTTTAAATGTGACAGTTTCATCTGATCTGCTCGCTTCTACCTGATTTATTTGCATGCAGTTTCCACATACACTGGGATGTTTACACGAGCCGCGTAATGAATGCTCACAAAATTGCTTACGGAAAAGGGTTATATGATGTAAAATGCCCAGATCGTCTCCAAAAGCTGCAGTGAAAGCCGTCAGAACGAAGAGAAAATTGATGATTCATATGTTGGGGACAACTTTTATATAGGGCACTCTAATTTAGGACAGAATAAAATTCTGTTCGTTGGATTTCCATGTCAACAAACTCTTAAAGGAAACAAGTTTCACTGTAAGACGGTCACTGTAATGAAAATAGTCGTTTTAGAATTGTTGTATTGTTGTAGACAGGCGACAGACCTAGGTTGCACTTAGCCACACAGGTAGGTCCGTGACGCTTAATTGAGCTTTGTACATGCTGTACAGCTTTGTATCTGCAGTTCTTTGCACAAAGTATTGTGAATCCCTATCCTAATTGTAGACAGCGAACACATGAGGGTTCAGTTACCTGGCTTTTATTGGGATTTGAGGGATAGGGACATCAGATTTGCTTAGGTTTTCTAATAAATGATAAGAAAGCACATTGTTCTTGAGTTTATTGTCTCGTTTTTTAAAAATACCCTCTCTAAGTTGAGAGCGAAAAATTCTAGTGACTACACATTTAGTAATGAAGTGAGATACAAAAGTATTGGACATAATATGGCCGGAGAGTGCGCGATCCTTATAGTGATGGTTATTGGCCGCAAGTACTGCGCCAATTAAAATGCTTCAATTTTTATGCTGGTATGAACAGGTTTTCCAAATGCGATTGAACTTCATCCCAAAAACATCAAGAACCTGGTTTGGAAAGTTGAGATGCACTCTACAATTGTTTCATCTGTGTTCGGACTCGACAGAAGCCTTCTACTTGTGGATCTCTGTGGGGATTCGGAATCCTTACACTCGAACCGGTAACTGAGGCCATAGCGTAGGGCTAAAATTAGAGTGCCGTCAGAATAACAAACTGGCCAGTGGAGGAGATACAGCGTGACTTTTTTCTTTCAACAATGCAGTTTGCATCAGGTGGTCACGTATATAATGGCTTCTAGAGTTATGGCTTCTCAGAATTAGAGTTCATCCTTTTCTAACACTTCAACGTTTTTTAACTGGAAGAGGAATTTTAGAAATTTCAGTGAAAATTTCATACTGTAAACAAGGTGATTACGAACAACCGAGAAGCACTGAAAAGTTTTTTTCATTTTTGTTGGGAATTGTCGGCAGTGCGCACCAAACGAATTCCTGAAGAGAATCGAACCCTCAATCTCCAATCGAGTGACATACGACCAGGATGTTGGACCACTTATAGCTGATAAACAGTGTCAGTGACTTAAATTTTTACCTATACATCCTATCTAGAAAACCATAATTTCACGCATTGTTTCGCAGTGTATCTACAAATGACGCCTCAAGATTTCGTATATTTTACTGGAGCACTTGAACAGTGTGAAAAATCCCGTGGGTACCATAGACAGTCCGGCAGAGAAGCACTAATACTTTTCACGAGGTCTAAGGTGCGGGATATGAACAGTCCAATTCAGGAACTGGAGAAGTTCTTCAACATTCTACCATCGATTTTGTTCTATGCTGGCACTATTAAAAACGGGAACGTAAATCATTCTGGAATATCGTAGTCAATAATAGTCTCACTGCTTTAGAATTTAGCAGCATAATTTAAGCTTTTTTTGGGGAGCATGGAAGTCACGTTTAGGTCCCATAGCTCCTCCGGAAAGTCATACACAAGAATGAGTGTAGATATGTAGCAAAACCAGCGTGAGCATCTATGATGGTCACATTCATGTAATAGTTGGATATGGATAGTTCCGTCAGCTTCTCTTCTCGCCGCAATAAAAACAGTCATTGCAATTTTGCGTCGACTCAAGTACGAAACTCATAAGTGGTCTCGGTTTCATTCACATGAGTGTTCAGCGACTAAGACGCAGAGGTTTGTGGTTTAGACTCAAATCTTGCTTCTCCCCAGATTGGTGTAACCTGGCTCTATCTCAACTCCCTCATTTTGTTTGATTGCCACAACAGCAGTGTGCCAGAAGCGTATCACGTTTGACTTAATTTAATTTAACTGACAGTTAAAGGTTAAGCTGGAAAGCGCGATTGAGTAAAAACTTCTACCAATGAAATGAGGGCCTTTGAGAAACATACTTTGCAGTGCGGGACAGATTCGTAGAAGAGACCTAAAGAACGAAATTGCCACGAGGTGTGAATATGCTGTTTGGTGATCAGGTGGCTATGGATCCGTTTGCCGAGGCTGGCAAGTGAAATGCACTTTTGAATGCATCTTCGAATTTTCAACTCAGCGTTCAACAAACCTACTTGGAAGACGAAGGAGCATTTCGCGTAGGCGGTACATTAGGGAAATCAAACTACTAAATATTCACAAGACTGATAAAAGCTAAGATAGCAATAAACCCTTTCTTATTCTAATGTATATAAAAATCATGGCGGGTCGATATGGTCCTTTTACGTCAACATTCGAGATATTTCGAATATCGTTCCAACTGAAACATAGGGCGGCCTGATGCAGCCTGGTAACATCGTAAACGAGAGATTCGTCTGAGGTCCATGTGAGTCTCTCGAAAAACCAAACTTGTTTGCAGCTGAGTGTATTTCGATAATTTCGTGCAATTTGTTTGACGCAATAAGTTTGACGGAAATTCGGGGGCAGTGCCCACATGATAAGCCCCACGAAGGGAAAAACCGGTCATGGGGTGTCGGAAAATTTTCAGCAACCTTATGAGTAGTGCATGAAGTAGAATTTAGTTTGAAGTATGCTTTCGCAGAAACAAGAATTTCTTCTCCTAAGAATGGTTGATAGATCAGGTTTTTCAAGAAGCGATGCAGCGCACTATCAAACAGATGTGATCTTCAGGAGAGAAACCGTTACTTTTTCTGGCAGTTGGGTTGTTTCTCCAATAGGGGTCAACTTAAGGTTAACTTGCATGAATTTTAGAGGTCAACTGCATGTTTTTTCACTTTTCGTTGCGTGATTTTCTCACAAGGCATGCATGAGACAAATGGGGCCCCCAAAAATAATAGCGAGAACAAGGATAGGACCCACCTGTGTAGATTCCAGTGTTCCAATGATGCAGTAGAACGAAAAGAGGAACAATACAAATAGTTCGCGGTGATGAGCCAGGATAGGATATTCATCACTCAGTGCAGTGATAACAGCTTCTGAGCCACCAAACTGTGGATAGAAGGCACCGCGTGGGGAACGCAGATAATTTATTTTGCATCCAAAACTACTGAAGTATATTAGGGGATTAGGGCATAAAATGAGTGGAAACTTTTAGAAAGACAAAGTAATCTGTCAACTACAGACTTCTGCCAACCATTTATATTCTTGGCTCATCAGCATTTCATCGCAAATTCACTAAAATCAACGGTAACATGATTCATTAAATCGACCGCTGTTTAATAAATAAGAAGATACATAAGAAAATATTTTCTACGCTTTACAATAGAATCATGATTTTTAGTAAAAACTAATCAGTTGCATTATTGACGGCAATGTATCAGGGGCAAATACTGCTGAAACTCAACCGCCAGAAAGCACTGAGAAGCTGCCGTTGCACATCAGAAGCCTTTTAGAGGCCAATGTGACAACGGCTCCGCTTCCTATTCTTAGACATCCAGTGATACGACTAACAAGGTTATCACTTGCTTTCATGCAGTTTGGATTGCAGCCTCCCAAGTCGTGCTGATTGCCTGAAAATCATCTATTCTTCTCCCCCGATTCAAATACTTCATCATTTTAAAGAACCACTCACCGAGCTGTCGAGGCCGAGAGTCAGCAACATTAGGAAGAATACAATGGACCAGAACACAGATCCGGGCAAGGTTGCCAGAGCTTCCGGGTAGACACTGAACACAAGGACAGGATCTGGGAAACGGGAGCTAGGTATTATAAAACATGTGAGATTGTCGACATCTTACTCTGTGGTGCAAAATGGAACTCAGCTATAACCATTTGGTGGAACTTTAAGGAAAATTTGTCTTCAAGGGTTTCCCATAAGCCTTCTTGTAGCTGAAGGATTTCAGTTCAAAATTATTTAAAACTATTTACACTTTCAAGGTAACTACCGATAACTCCGCTTGAAACGGTACAAAAATTGATCTCCAAAGCTTTAGAGCCCCTTTTTTCAACCGATGTAAAAAGCCGGTTTCGTATCACATCCCAAAAATTGCAACTCAGTGGGAAATGCTGAAAGCCTGGGTCAAATCAGATATCCAATCAAAAACCATTACACAATTGGCCTGTTACAGATTTAGGTGCAAGCTGCCTGACTGAGCTATGCTGGGTTCTTCTATCAGTGGAGTACGATTCTAGTATGCCTTGGATGCTTCATCTTTGGTCAGCGCACTCGTTAGCAGACAACTGAAAGGTTCGTTTCTGGTAAAGGAAAATTATTTTTGTAGCTACATGTGAAATATTGTAAAAATTCGACACATGTTTACCTCAGTGGGACTGTTATTGCAAAAGGGTTTGCCTAGATGTTGGTTCACAGAACACCGTCACAAGAATAAAAATGCATTTAGCGCAGCTTACATAAGTCTCAATCTGTCTGATTAAGTGAAAAATTCTCGCTTTTCTTGGCACATACGAAACTGTCGTAGATGTGTGAAGAATGAAAATCTCTTTTTTGAACGTTGGTTTGTCTGTAAATCAACTTATTTAATCTGAATACGCCGCAGGCACACACATACACATGCCGCTCCGCACACATCACGCGTCTCACATAATTGGAGGATGAAAGTGATTAGACGTTTGACTAAAAAAGTAGATTTATACTTACCATCTTGGATGACGTCGGAGACTAAAACAGAGCGCTTGTTTGCCATGTACCCCAGCATGCTGAAGACCACAAAGCCGGACAACATGCTAGTGAGTGAGTTAATGGTTGCCACGACCAATGCGTCCCTGGGTGTAACAAAATAAAGCGACGTGGAATGAGCTGCGATGTTAAACTTCGGGCTATGTGGTGATAACACGTGCGATGAGACAAGGTTATAACATCCAACAAGACAATCGTTGAACAAGCAGTCTTTTAAGTAACCTCAACCAGATTCAGTAAAAAGCGTTTTGAAAAACGATAGGCTAGTGTGGGGGAGTGTATAAATTACTCCTTATATGTTTTGTAATTCCTTACACTATTCTAATCAACCTATTAAATTGTCCGGAACAGACAGGCAACAGACTACGTCTAATGGGGCCAAACGTACTTCCACAAAACTAGAATGGGGAGATCACTGAAAACCAACAGAATTCTCTACAATCATTGTGTTCTATCTGCAGCTAATATGGTAGCCTTATTTTCCAGAATGTAGTACGCTCGGTCAATAACCAGGACGACAATAGTGTGAATTTTTTGCATTTGGCCTCGTATATAACAAGATTAACAGAGCAGCAACACTATTCCGGCCTTCAAAGAGAGTAGCATTAATGAGCTACCAAGAAGTCGTGGAATGGCTCGGTTCCAAATATACATTCATCATGGCAAACTGGCTCCCATGAGAAACGTTTTCAAAATGAAGCCAGCTGAGTCATTCTGGTTGAAAGGTATCGATTGTGCACGTGCTAGTCAGTGGTATAAAAGCTGTTCAACAGTGGCAAACACAACGGAAATCCGATGGTTGACAATGTTGACGAATTCCGAGCCAAACTAGGCCCTGTTAAACAGTTTGAGCTCCATATGGTGCATAATATGGAAAGTTGAAACTCCAAACAGCCTAGTAGAATAATCGGCTGGCGTGAGCAATCCTTTTCAAGGATTTCTACGAGTTGAGTGCAGCGTCATTTGGGTCCGCTGTTGTCTTCCGATTGGTTTGTTCCTGAAATCAGTCGGCAGTCAGATGCGATCAGCATTGTGGGTGTGAATTAACTCTCTGTGTGTGTGTGTGTGCGTTGCGGGTGCGCCTGATTGTGTGGGTATTTGGCTGAGATGTGCCTTTGTTGTTGTGCTGTTGAGATTCTTGCTTGCCCCCTTGGCCCCCATGCGCAGCAAGGTGTGCAGTAAGTTGAAGCCACCACGGCTGACTTAGTTCGGTTGTGCGTTAATCTAGTGATTCAACGCACGCTCATTCCACGTATGAATCGAATCGGTCAGAAGGATGCGCGCTTTATACGGTGGCTTGTATTGAGAATAAGAATGCAAAATCCCAAATAAACGTTTCAATTTTAAGCGCCTGGTTTATTATGCTTTGACAGAAATGCAGCAGCTGTGCAAGTTGGAAGAAGACCAAAACCATTCTGAAGTGTATTCCCATTGGTGAAATAATTCAATGCTGAAACACTTCCAACATTCAAAGCTGGTTTCGTAAACTGGGATCTCGTCTGAATATTTGAAAGTATACGAAGTAGGTACAAAGTTTGTGGTATTCATTGGAGGTGGGTCGATAATTTAAACTCTGCATTCGGAGACATGCTTGCTGCCTGGCTTGCCCAATGATTTCGGCGATACCTACTTACTGCGTGTTCTAAACTGCAGAATCGTCTTACTGGTTCAGAAGTCATGATCATGAAGACGCATTCCTAAGTTTGGTCGGAATCAGTACACTGAATTTCATTGAGTTCAGTTCTGTTGCATTAAGAACATATGTGGAAATGTTGTTTTAATTTTTGTGGTACGATTTCAGAAACATAACCGTGTCAAATGTTGAATGATTTCAGTTGCAGCAGTTTAGGGACGGCTAGATGTATTAAATTAGCTCTGTCACTGGTAGAACAGGATTGCATCACTGTTAGCCTAGAGTATTACTGCCGTCTAATAATCAGCAGAAGACTTAAGTAGTTTTAAGTTGGATGCTTTTTTATCGCCTGGTTTTGTCCGAATCCAAGCTGCTTTGAAAACACTTACCTATAGACGTTATTGTGGAAGTCGTTGTAAGAAGCGTAGGCCATAAGGACTCCAAAACCTGGACCTAGAGAGAAGAAAACCTGCGTCGCGGCATCAACCCATGGTTCCGCGCTCCTGAGTTTGTCAATGTCTGGTACAATGTAGTATCGTATTCCATCCAAAGCCCCGTCCAAGGATAAGCCACGGAACAGAAGAATGAACAGTACCACGTATGGGAAAATTGCAGTGAACCATACCACCTGGAAAAGGTAAAAATTGCTTGGATACCAAGCTTCTTCTCAGAACACAAGAGTATCGCGTAAGCTGGTGAAAATTATCTCACGTAAAAGGTTAGTGTCAACACTACAACCGAGTTTGAAGGGGTCACCATATTCAAAGTGTACTTTTGGAAAAATGTACTTTCTCCAAGTGAAGACTAGCGTCCTTGGTCAGACACAAGTATATTTATTTGTTGAAAATATCGGAGTGTGCCACCTCTGGGAAATAACTTTTGATAGATTTTTCAGTGTGCCTTCTCTGGGTTCGATTCCTAATATTACTATGTTGCAATTTGTAATGAGTCTGTCTAGTGCCTACATCAGGTGGTAGTTGTTGCTTCGAAGCAAACTCAATGAGCGTTCGTTCAGATTATCCATGGACTTGGATGCTTAGATCCCTCTATCCGGGAAACATCATTATTGTCCACATTATACCCAAGATTTTCGGAGTACGAGAGGTTTGGCAACTTATTTAGTCGATCAAGGATTGAAGAAGACTTATAAAATTCTGAAAAACCACCCCATAACTTATTCTACAAAAGCTGTATTCCAGTATAAGCTTCTGTTACACCAACATCAAATCGAAGCTTACACTCTCAAACTCATAATTTACCAGCATCTGTAGCAGTAATATCCTAAGTCTGCTTGGTTCAAACAGCGACAGACTGAGAAGGCACTAGGGAGTTCCCATAACCTGTGTTCAATACAGGTTTCTCCACTTGGTAACTGGCACACAAACATACTGCAACAAGAATTTTCTACGGGGGAATTTCGGAGTATGGGGATTGAGTTGGAAGATTCTTCAAATTAATGTAATGTAGGGGTTGACATTTACACTATAGTAGCCAGATCTTTCTAACCTTTCAACAAGACCAGTATTAAGCAAGACCAGTGTTAAGTATTTAAATAAGTCTGATGGCCGTTCATTCGTTGATCTACGTTCCATAACTTATGCCTCGCAAAAGTGTAGTACGGCCCTTGGAGTTTACTGATTTTTCTATGTTTTTTTTATCAGTGATCGGTTAAGCGGCAATTCTAAAAGAAGAACAAAACTCCTCGGCGAACAAACTACAACCTCTAAGGAAGTTAAGGCGTTGGTTCTTTCAATATACTGTTGAAAATGCTCATTGTGGGCAGCCTAAAGTAGTGAGTCATCTTCGGACGACTCCTTTAAAGGCATATTGCATTGAAGTAGGCGATTACTTATTCTTTTCTATTGCATTTACTCAATCCTAACTTGGCCCCCAACACAAATTGCAGAATGTCAGTTCTTTTACTTTCACGGTGAACTGTTCAGTTTGTCAGATGAAGTGGAGTTGAGCTGTCAATAGCCTAAGCATTAGGTGTGATATTATAAAACATGATTCACTTATAAATTCTAACAGCAACAAAAAGAGTTCGTTCAGTTCTTTGCGGCTGTCTGTTAGTCAAATTGCCAAAGGGAGTCAAATGGTGTTCTGTTGCATATGCACTGCTCAAAACTGACTTGCTTTGTCCTCACCTGTTGTGAGCTTGATCTTTAGTCGTTCTAGATATAGTCTTAGCTACGAGAAGAACGATGGGAATAAAATCGTTCAGGCTTTCATCACAAGTGGTACATTCTTTGTTTTCATCTGGTAATTTCCAAATTAGTTGCTGAAGTCCTGCACAAATGGTTTTTCTCTGTGAGTCTAACGACTTATATTCTCAGTAAAAAATTATTAATCTATGTTTACGCGTTCATAGCTCACAAGTAAGGGTTGACCGGAACACATCATGATTCGAATAAAAAAATAACCTCACGAAGTTAAGAGTAGTGGGATTAGTTCTCAGCCGTAGTTCAAAGGTACTGACAGCGATTCTGGTTTCAGATTTATATGCCCTCTTGTATTACTTTCATGGTGGTATACAACACCTCAACTTTATTGTCCATAAACGCCGCAATAAGCTTGCATATTTGCACAGTCGGCGGTCCTGGCCTTCTTTTTTTGGTTTGACGGAAGTACTTCAACATTCTAATAGTAGGATCGTTGCGGCACTGATACATTGTAATATCAAGCACCAGACCGTTTTATTTGGCGTCACTTTTGATACAGATTCCTTTGCATTGATTGGTAGATCAAGTATTGGGCAATGATTTGCCAAAAAACAAGTCATGATGAAGTTGGACTGAGTGGTCGGGAAGTCAGTTCCACTGATTATCCCATCTGAGACGACTGATCAAAACTCAAATCCTAACACCGTCTATCTCTAACTCGACTAGATCTCTGCTAATGAGATAGTCTTCAGGTAAGATTGAAACACTTTGCCTAGGATGTGTGATTTACGATATAACGCGTTTTGTTATTGCAAAATGAGCAAAACGTTGTAAAGGAACCCAGTTTCTCTATTTCATTCACAAACAAGACCTCAGTAAAATTGGCAGTCTTAATCTTAATCAAGATTGGCTTAATTATTGAAAGTTGGGAATCGGATCCGGTTATTCCATTGCTTTTTTGCACACTTGCATGAAAGCATGTAAAAACAATGAGCACAATGTTATTAAAACCACTGGTATATCCTTTCTCACGTTGACGATGGGTAATCCACAGATGCTGGGATTATAAGTACGGTCCTAAAATGGCGTTTTCGTGACAATTTCTAGCTTAGGGAAGTGGACGGCTGAAGTCTGTGCCTCAACGAAAGACCAGAGACTGGTGCCGGAGCTGAGTGCCACACCACCGAACCAACTGCTAACGGCCAACAATCCTTGACGTGTTCATTCGCCTATGTTGCTCGAATCGTAACTGGAGTCAGTGGCCCAAACGTGGTCTTAAATTTTGTCCCGTGCATGACGCTTGCAACTAGCCAGTTGTGTACTGTCCTGCAAAACGTCACCTAGTGTTGGCCGGCGACTACAGTGTGGATTTTGATCGTTCACATTTCTTTACATTTGGTTCAAACTCAGGAGTAAAGAGCCAATTTTGCTGGCCTAGATTACTATCTGGAAATTGGTGGTGTCGGATTGTCCTCATGGGCCATCGGTCAAGATGGCTCAGTCTAGGTGCCCCATTTTTAAGTGTTCTCACCGAGGTGAGCGTTCAACTAATCATCTCTGCAGAGTGTCCGATAAAGTCTGCATCTTCTCAGACCAAAACAAAGTGGCGCGAATGAATTCAAATTGGATACCATAGCACCTGAAGAGTTTATTCTAACAGTTTTTATAGTCTCCATCTTGGCTCTTTTCCGATCCACGTATGGCTCCCATTTTTGAAACGATAAAAATTACCTTTCCAGATGTATGTATTCCTTTCCATAGACTGAAGTAACAAATAACCATCACCGCGACAAAGCACAAAATGACCGGCCATTGGACACGTCCCAAATTATCCAGGTTTGTATCGTTTGTGCGCCCTAACACCTTGAGGCTGCGAAAGCAATAAAAAAATGTGAGAACAATGGTGATCATAGAATGAGTTCAACCAGTGGAGAGCTACAATTTAGCCCTATTTAAAGCAGAAATCGTTTGCTTGAAGTGAGAAATTCGAGTTACCCACCACTTTTCATAGGCGTGCCGTCCACTCATAATGCTTGTCGTTAGAACCACAAGAGTAGCTGTTGAACCGTACCCAAAATAACAAAATACACGGCACCTTACCCACTATGCAAACTCTTCGGTGGTCTAAATTTAGATGGTAAGACGCTTTCTTTCAATTATCTATTTTTACTTTATAACACAGTGAGAACCAATGTCATAATTTCTCCGTCATCTCTACAACAACTGAAATACCGCCTTGACGGGTAACCTACAAAATTGGCCTATCCGTTGAATCCAACGAAGCTGGAAACATTTTTCTGGAACTGATAAAGTACGATGCGATGTGTCGAGCCAAGTAGCCTGATGAGTCACCGTTGATAAGACCGCCGTTGAAAACCATCGTCTTCCTAAACACGTGATGTTTTCCAGCTATAGTGCTCAGCGTAGGCCAAGCGATGGACCGAGTTTGCAAATCGTTAGTATGAACAGTTTGTCACATCGTGCAACCTGAACAACGGCTTGCAACCAGATTGCGATAGAAAGTTTCCGAATGTGAAGTCATTAGGTCTTTTATGACACAGTTGGAGTTCAATGTATGAATCCAATAGCCTTCGGAAACCCAAAGTTTTTTATGACCTATCAAAGTTATTATTTCCGAATGCATCACTCTGTTCTTTTGCAAGTTACTGAATTATGAAAAACCTTTCCGATTAGTCCTTGAAAATTTTGCTATGCCTTGCGTTATTTGTGTTAAATACTTCAATCGATGAACGCCAGCCCCCAAGTACCTTTTACCAAAGGTTTTGGCGTCGAAGTGATTCTGACACTTGTGAAAATTTATACATGCAGCAAAAAGTAACTAAGTACAAGGGAACCATGTAGGGACTTTTATGAAACAGTTGATTATTGACTGGTGACTCAGAGTTTTATAAGATACAAGATTAAATTCAAGTATTCTTTATGTTTTTGTGGCGTCACAATCTGTTTCAAAGTAAAAGTTGAAGCTGATCTTTTCTTGTGTTGTGTAGCAGATGGATGATACAACGGAAAATCCTTTCATCGGCCCTAGAAGAGCACAAGCATTCACGTGTAGGGCAAGAACCGTTCTTCAAAAGCGTCAAGTAATTGGAACCTTTACTTCATAAGGCTACACGTTCAAATTCAGAGTGGTCTGCCCGGAGTGAATTAAATCCTAAATTGGCATTGAACAGCAGTTGCGTCGTTTAAATGTACATAAACTAAACCCCCGGAGTCTGATCAAAATTTTGTCCGGCTTAAATAAAATAAACTGTATACAACGAATAGGCAAAGAACACACTGAGAGTGACTTCATTCAGAGCTTATTTATTAGACCAGCAGTGGCACATGAAGGATGTCTATTCCACATTGAATTATTTTATCTAATGATTATCATGTAACAATAGTACAGACTCCAAAAAATTACCAAATGCTTAAAAGATCCCTTTTTGACTCCTGAGTTTGGCCGAAAATTATTCACTTTTAGATGATTTTTCTCAAGTTAAAGGTGCAAAATTAAAAGCACATGACCCGGGTCATAAAAAAGACACCTGCTTTCATTCGTTGAAGTCAAAATGCTGCAGTTTCTCTATGAGAATTTATTCCCATAATCAGTCTGTTGCCATGTGTTCTCTACAGAATACTTTAAATTGTCTGTTTAACATTTCAGATCCGTTCAACCCGGATAGAGTACTTTTGCCTTAAGCTCATCAATTAATGGTACATATGGTCTGTGAACTCCCCTGCTCAGGAAGGTTCCATTGTACAAATAGAGACTTAACTAATATTGTGTGGAGACCATCAAAGTATAGGATGTTTCATCACGCTTCGTTGTTGTGTTAAGCAGTAGTTTTGCGGAGTCTACATATCACACCGATTGTCGACCAGCTTTGTCTATAAGTTAAAGTAGCCCACTTCTACCGAGTTGGTGCAACACCTGAGCTTTGCACAAGGTTTGCAACTAACTCGCCGGATAGAAGTCAACATGGATTGGAGGATGTTGGCAACAGTGTATGTGGTTAGCCAGATTTGAAACATTTAGTTGTTGAAAGTCGTAGTGGGTGGAATAGGAGCTAGGATCCCCTAAAAATTGTATGAATTACGCACTATATTAAACTTTGAAGGCTTGCTCTTCATATCCAATGAAACCTGGGGTTGGAAGGTTCGTGCATGCGTCCTTGTTGCCCTAATAGCTTTTTAAAGAATGTACACGCCTTTGTCATACGGTGTGCTTTGTGGAAGGCTCCTCGTGGAACAATCTGGTTGCTTTTTTTGCAGGAAATTTTCAAAAATTCTAAAGTATAACACAGTTTTGCAGACACTGGATTATCATTGCCTTTTAAGCGTCGACTAATTTGGTGGTTCTAAACAGAGTGGTACATTCGCTCTCGAACTCCTGATTAACTATACCTGGATTCATGTAGTGAAGTGGACAGAACCATATGGGAGTTTATACCGTGGGATCTTGTAAAAAGCAGAGTCTGAGTGCTAAATACACACAGTTGACAGTGAAGGACATGTGAAGTAATGGGCAGCTGATGTTTGTGTCAACCTACTTATTTAGTTGGTTTAGTAAGGGATTTTGCTTTTCGACACTGGTGGGACATGTAGACTAAAAAGTTAGAATAGTTTTCTGAAGTCTAAGTCATTAGATTTTGACAATTCGCTTATGACTCATGGGGTTCAAACAAGTAGAACATGTTAGCTGATGATTAACTTCCATTTGTCATTAAAGATCAGTAAAATACACCATTCCGCAAAAGGCCGGGCAATTTTTTGTTAAATAGCTTCAAAAGTCCAACTAGTGAAGTATGAACCGCAAATTGCTAGAGAATAAAAGAACATCGTACGATCAGTTCACCGGTGTAAAAATTCATAACCTAAAATGAAGCCAAACAGGTTGAAATACTAGATCTGCTGCTGATCATTGTTGATCTATAAATCAGTTGGTGCTTGGTCAAAAAATGATCATAAATCAATCTGACTGTAGATATCACGCAAAACTGATAAACCCACTGGAAGAATTCTTCCACCGGAAACGTTGAGTTGCCGCTAGTCCGGGGCTGGATTCCACTGAAGTTGCTTTGGTTTGTCGACAAGTGCGTGTCAACACAACGTTCTGTATTCCAGTAGTGCCCACAGTCTATCCAAGGTAGTTGAGTGGTGAAAGATGCTCCGAAGTAGTAGAGAGACCATGCAATTATCATGTTGTAGAACCAATCCGTATAAAACGCGACCAAAACCACGCTGTATCCCACACCTGCGTTAAAAACGTCAAAAAGGATAGACCGGCTTTTTGAGGAACCAGCTAAATGTAAGTTGATTACGAAGGACAGGAATTATTATCGAGTAGATACCGGAGAACGTTTACGGTGAATTAAAAATTGTTTCAGGTATGAACTTACCTTTGAAAAGTGGACAGATGCGTCCCCAAGATGTAATCGCTCCTTTGCGAATGTATTGTCCCAAAGCCAACTCCATGTAAAATAACGGAATCCCACCAAATACCAACATCAGTGTGTATGGAATTAAAAAAGCACCTGTGACAAACAGAAATATGCTATTAAGTTGTCATATTTAGAAGCATTTTTATGATAATGACATTCCCCTATGTTGCGACCCTCGACCCGATCCAAAACTCTCACTTTAAAGATGCTTGAAAATATATTGAGAGATTCGTAAAGTCAGACCACTCGACTCTATAGGGTTCATGATTCTTATTGGAAGGCTGAGTTTTAAAAATTTAGAAAAAAGATTTATTGCATTCCGCTGAGGTTCATCCCGTAGTTTTCATTCGTGTCTGAAACGTCGTTAATCTACGTGACTCTAAAGAGTGAAAAACCGACTCGCTTATCTTAATTTATCGTTGAATTACTGTACGACGTTTGTATTTTCTGCATTCTATTACGTTACTAATTAACATACCAACCTGTGGATTCTAGTTAGCGGGTAAAACTAACGTCGTAAAAAATAGAAATGCAATGCAGTACGCTCTTCTTTAGCTTCCAAAGTAGCATTGTAATTGCATGCATTGTGTATTTTAATTTTGTGCCGTGAGTGTCATTTTCTCACAGCCATTCCCGGAAAGCCACCCAAAAGTTATAAAAGCCTACTATGAAAAACCGTCACTATGGAAAACCGCTGTAGGCTCCTCCTATGTGGTTTTGATTAAGCCGTTTGTTCGTTATATGCATCCCTACTGCAGTTTTGCTCCCTTAGTGTATTGTATTTTTCTGTATTCGCTGCATGGATCTTTCAGTGATCCCAAAGCAGGGCCACCCGAACAACGGTACTGGAGGTAGTTTTGTGATAGCTGTTGTATAGAACAATAAATATCGATGGTAGCCAATCCAAGAGCATCAAGATCTGTCGGTTTTATCTGGTCTGTTTTCCTGATAAACCTTGACACCTTTGAACCCGCGTGTTAGGCATATTACTATCCTCCACCATTCGCTGTTTCCCTCTGGAATTACGTCGACTGGCAAGAAAACTTCAAGATGGCTTTAGACGCGGCTTGGCACAAAACCAGTTTAGACTTATCCTCTGTCCGTCGGTGAAGTCTTATCTGATTAAAAGATCAGGGACTGGTACCAGCACACTGTGCGTTTATGTGGATAGATGGCTTTCACCCAGACAGCAGCCAGGTGTCAGACTAAGGTTTTTATAAAAGCTTCGGCTGATTTGGGGTTGTTAGTAAACCTGCGGCATGATCTAACCAGAAGTGATGGTTGATCAGCGGATGCTCGGCTCCCTTTCTACTCAAAATATACCCATATTTTGAGTACCAAAAATACATCAAGCATTTCGTTAGTTTCGGAACAGCGAAAACTCGACACAACTCTCCGGATTCATGGACGTTCAGCATGTGCCGGTATTTCCTTCAACATTTTTTATTCGTCAGCTTAATACTAATTGATCGATAGTGATTTTTACAGACTAATGAATATACCTTTAATTAAGTGTTTCACAAACATCCACTGAGATTTCGATACTGACAAAAGGGTGTAGACGTCAAAAATCTGGAAGTAACCGTGGTGTGCAGAGATTGGAGATTCTGCGCTTGCATGTCACCGTTACTCTGGCATCCACTTCATTAATCTATCTGATTACCAGACGTCATTTGTTTTTCCGTTTTTTACCATTTAAGACGCCTACAGTCAGTGTGTCGAAATATTGGTAGCCCCGCGCAGTGATGATGTCTTTTCGCCTGAAAAGAAAGCCTTTGAGTGCTAACTGCCAGGCTCGGTGAGCAGATAAACGGCAGCCTGATCAGCTACCGGAAAGACGCCCATTATTCGTGATCTAAATCCACTGGCCTGCCTAGCAGTCGGAATTTTTACCGATGGATTAAGATTCATATTCCTATCAATACTTTATTCTTGGTCTTGGTCACACGAGCATACTAAATGATGCCATTTACACCGTTTTCTTTGCGTTCTCAATAGTGTTCTAAAAGTGGCACCTAGAAAGGGATAAAGCTGTACTAATACAACTGTGTTGACATGTATTTTCATTGCACCCGTCTAGGCAAAAGAGGGATATATAATTGAACAAACTTTCATGAAAACCTCCTGCCGATTTTACTACTGTTGAGGACACTCGTTTGGCACAGGAAGCAAGGTTTAGGCTGATTCTGTCGTTTATGGCATTCTACGGAAATTGAGTAGAGTACACTTTTGCTTACTGAGCTACTAGTGGTACACTCGTTTATGGAACGAAATATGAGTATTATACTCGAGCCAAAGTTCTCTTGGCAATAGATGACGTGCAGAACAGGAACAAAAATTACACTCATGTATTTGATGGATGGATAACCCAACGGTCCCCCTGATTTCATCCATCCTCCAGAAATTCGTGTAACTCTATTTGTCCAACGCAATTGTAGCCGCAGATACATCAGCATTACCAGTGTAATATATACATTCAGTAAGCATGCTCCCGTTTTCTTTTCCACCTTGTATCCTTAAATATGTGTCCGAGAAAAGAGAAACGAGTTTTTCAAATGTTTGTGAGTCCATAACTTGTGGTTGACTACAACAGTCTATTCAGAAGAATAGCAAAATAGCATTGTTACTCATATTTTACGGCCAAATGCTACAATACGGTGTAAGGGGCTTTAACATTGGACAGATAGACGTTTCAACACGGTTAAATCATCCCAAAAAACTTTTGAGGAATGCTCCATTTAGGTTGGTTTACAGTCAACTACATTCCAAATGCTAGTTTAATCGGGATGGAATCAGTGATCTCGTACGACCGAACGTCTTCAAGCTGCGATGTTAAGTGGGATCAAAATTTGTTTCATGGTTTAATCATGTTAAGTAGTCGGGATTGTTAACGAGTAATCTTTAGACAGATAGGGAATATCCACAGTGTGATTTCAGACGACAGAAGTTTCGCTAAGGAAGTAGTGAGTAATTCCTTGCCTCGCATTTCCAAGATTCGGAGTTGACATTTTCGCATCGCAACATTAAAAAAAACTGTTGTGGGCTTTCAATAATTTCCAAATTAGTTTGGAACAGCGAGAAAATATCACATTAAACGATAGCAATATAAAACGTCCCGCAATCAAGCATTATACCAAAGCTGACTACCCATCATAAGCCAGCAGTGGCATTTTATTCCTCAGCTAAATTCCATCCAATCCACGGGTGATTAGACCGTAGACACCGGGGCCTTTGGCGGTGTAAAGTTCCAAACACTTTCAGCCAGGGTTTGTTATGGGCGGACGTAAAAGTAAGCGAATCTGTAAGAGACCCCTACTCAGCTTCATGCTATATTAGGATAAAAATGAACTGACAGTTTTATGACGATTCCGGATATTCGCTTGGAACCACATACACCATGGGTTTTATCACTGACGCGTTTGTTTTATTGACTCCGTTGATGATGAACAAAGGCTGAATAGCCACAGAGAGAAAAACAGCAGGTGAATAAATTCATAGACCATCAATCAGGGCGAGATATAAGGCATAACTGAGGCAACTAATTGGTAATAGCCTTCCGACTAGGGAGTTTCGTGTGGTGAATGGTTGATTGATTTTTAATTGTTTCTCATAATACAGGTGATGTCTATGGCAAAATATGGTGATTACGTATTTTTACAGTGAACAAAGTAGGATGCGCGCCAGAAAAGAAAACACCCGTGTGATTCTGGCTATATTGATGACGTATTCCTAACTCTGAAAGGAGAAAATGACGGAGAAATCGTTTGAATCTTTGCGGTCTGGTTGAATGAAGTCCCATTTTCAAGTGTCACTAGAGCTCACGCCAAAGGTATTTTGCTGTCCCGTCCAAAGTTTTAAATGACACTCTAAGGGAGAGACGTTAAATATCCTGGAGAATCAGCCCGTTTTCAGATATGCTAGAAAGCTTTTACATGAAACAGAATCATTTTGATGTGGCATAAAAATTTCTGCAAAACCAATTCTTTGAAAGCGTTTCACACGTTCTTTCTAAAGCTTCCAAACTCAATTTTGCGATCACTCTAGGCCAGAAAGTGGCATCAAGTTTGGATTCTGCCTGCCAGACAGCTTCTTATTGCTGAATACTTTCGGGAAGCGATGGTTGCCCTCTTGACTCTTGAGTGCCATTTCATACGGAGTTTCAAGTCTTCGGGTAAAGTGTTCCACGTTATCTTACGTATAGGGATAAGAAAAAAAACAAGAAACGCTTGGTTTCCTTCATTTACTCTGGACGGAAGTAATAGGATATCAGAGTGTTCTTCGGGACATGACCATAGCAACGGTACAAAATACCGCAGTGAAAAACACCGTTGGCCGTCCTATTGAAAGTTCGTATGCTGCCAGCAAAATCGAGAGCCTCTTATAGGTTCATATACATCTGCCTAATTCTATGGTCCGTCAGTGTCGCCTTGAGAATAGTATGTTAATCGTGTTCCTCCAGAAAGCGTTTTCAAAGATCAAATGACAATTATCATCATTTGGAAGCAATACATTTCCTGGCGATTGAACAGATTTGGATAGTTCTCTAGAAGCAGAACCTGGTTTGAGTGTAATGTCATTTTTACAAGACTGCTTTTTGTATTTTTTAAGCGATTCTAATGAAACGCGGGTGGAGCTAATTTCTGTCCCTTGCTTGCCCACGGTAAACCGCATAATTTGAGTACGAGACGTGCATGATATTCCGTTGAATGCTTGGTCACAGAGACGGACGGTTGTGACTACTACAAGTCACGGTAAAACCTGGCATAACAACACGAAGACTCGCACATGGATATTAATGCGCCGGCTAGAGAAGGAGAATTGATTTCGTTTGGTCTCTTGACTCTTTACTTTCAGCGCATTTTCAATTACCAACCTCTTTGATGTATTGACGAAACTTTCTTAAACAACTCAAAACAAATGAGCTTCCGTAAAACTGACAGACTTATGTAGTAATTAACTAGGATTATTGTGAAAATTTCAAGTAGATCTTCAGAAACATTATTAAAAATGAGCTCACACCTCAGCAAAATCAACGTGGGCACAAGGTAGAACTTACCACCACCGTTTTTGTAACAAAGATATGGAAATCGCCATACATTAGCCAGATCTACTGCAAAACCAATGACAGACAACAAAAAGTCCGCCTTTTTGTTCCACTGGTCACGGAACCGACCATCGATAAATGTTACTGATCCTTTGGGACGCTTGATTCGCGGAACCATTAGAAAGTTCGGATCTGTATCATTAGATGTATTCGTCACATTGTGAAGAGTGCCAGCATCCGGAATGGACAAAAGTGATAAGCGAATTTCCACCGCAGATGCAGCTGGATGATTCTCAGTATTGTCGATGGATACTGGCGTCTCTGGTTTCGAATTTTTCTTCCCAAATGGCATTCTACTGAGTAATCCTCCGATGAGTTCACGATGGGACTTTTGCGTTGTTTATCTTGGCACTGTACTCGAGTTTTATTCGACTTGCAACCTTCCCAGTTTTTCTAGTAAGGGGCTTGTCATTGGTTAACGCAAAAACCAGCTCCATATATGCGAGTGCAATCTAGGCCCAGTTCATCAAGCATTGTCATGATTCGACAAGGCAACTCCACGGTTATCAGATTCCTGTTTTCCCACAACCGGCGGATGTGAAATGACATTATCGGGGTTTCATGTTGAATCTTCTGAGCGGAAAACTTTGGGTTCTGGTTTGCAATCAGTGCCTCTCATGTTGTGACTTTCCACAATTTCTTATTTAACAGTCAGAGGAGCAAATGATAACATACCGGAATCCAAAAGCCGGTGTGATTTTTCAAGAAACTTTGTTTTTTTTTCATGTGAGTTTCAAGCCAGAACGAATGGTTTTTGGTTCAATCAGATTCATTCCAGTTTACTGAAGCAAAGTTGAGGTATATTGGATAGAAACAACAAATACATTCAATTTTGGGTACAGTATATCACAAACTAGGTAGAAATGTTGTTCTTTAAAAGTATCAGAAGGGCAGCCTGTACACTGGATATTTTTTTCTGTATTCATTTGAACATGCACCTAATGAAGAAACGTTTGCGCCAACATGGTAAGCGGACATTGCGGGACACTTAAATGTCACAACCTGTAGCTCAGATAACAATAAAAGATGCGTGAGTAAAATTCGGACTTCAGAAAAATCACGATTTGACACTTGTTTAAATTGAAAACATGATGTCGCATCGCTTACCAGGTCGAATATACACATACCGACGTTTTTCCCAATCTTATGTTTTAGTTTTGCCCTCAAAAGCGTACCCTACAAACAGCATGGCTTTGTTTGCAGTAATTGAGCAGTATTTACAAACAGGACGCTTATTCCTATTGCAGGGCATTGTCAAAAATATGTTAAAATAATTTGACGCAAGATAGTAATTTGTTAATCGACACCCATCAGCATGTCGTCTCGCATCAATGAGAAGTCAAAATTGACTTTTGCAGAGTAACGAAGTCCGATCTCATTTAGTGCATAGAATTCTGCCATATCTCTGTCATCTGTGACTGAAAAATGTAAAAGGTTCCACAAGCGGCTGGACGCATGCTTTTGGGATTCTTTTTGAGCTGTTCATGAACAAAAGAAACCTCTTTATAATACTAAGCAGTGAAGCTGAGATACTCCGTAAAATCAGTGTGGGACGTGGGCAGTGTGCATTACTCAAGCTTTACTGGTGGCACATAATACAAGGACCCAGTCATTCGCCGTCTCATGAATTTCATTCAGCTGCTGAATATAAAAAATTCAGGCAGGCCATATAAATCATGCAAAGTTGGCTCTCCGAAAGTGAGCTTGGTATACAACCAGGGAGATTGCGTTGAAAGTTAGAAGGTTAAAACTTTATAAATCTGTTCCAAGTAGGCGCCCTCTATTCCAGAAAATGGTTAGTACACTAAGGATTGCAACAAAGGTAATGCACTCACTGCACAGAACCACGTTTTGCGCCAACAAATACTTAAAGATTATGTTCGAACTTATAAATCCGTAAAGGGTGAGATTATTCTATCTATCAGCTTGGATATGCTCGTGTGTTTTTATGAGGGAATGCTGTACAAGTAGTTGAAGCCTCATGAACGCGGCCATCTACAATTTGGTAAATGTTTACTTACATTAGTTTATTTAACCTAAAAATCAGGGTTCCCTTGGATAAACACATAATGAACGATTCCATGAAGAAAGCAAACCGTCTCATTACATTTATTTAAAAACGTATATCCTCATTTTTATAACTGTAATATTACCAAGCCCACAACAAACATCTGTTTGAATAGTGTGCTTCTGATAGGTCCTCACTGAGATGAAGTTTTTGATAGAACGTTTAAGACACCCTTAAGGTGCGCAGGAAAGACAGGATATTAAACAAGGTGCCTCTGCGCTTGCATAATCAAGAACATGAAGGTAAAACTTATGTCCTTCGTACCCTGTTTAATGTTGGATCATGCAGATGTCGAAAATCAGACACTTGAACACCAAAACTACCTTCCCCGTACTGGAGTTCTTACCCGAATGACCTAAGAAGTAACTGAAAAATTCCAAATTATTTTTTCTGCGTGCACTTGGATTGCACTTTTAACAAGAAATAGTGTAGCAATAACGTGAAATCTAAAGAATAAAGAGAAAAGTGTTTCAGCAACTCAAAAACAAGCATATTTTTAAATTCCACCTATTTTTAGAGGTTTGATTAATGTGGTCACTCATTTATCATCCTACTACTCGAGGTAAATTAGTTTCACAGAAATGCGAAAATTTAAATGTTGATTCTCGCTGAACTCTTTCGGCCACCAGCTAACAGTAATTCAAGACAGTATGCTGGGACAGCGTGCAGGATGATAATTCCACCAATTACAACTTTATTACAACTTTATTGTGTGAGTCCAGTTAGGTGGTCTCAAACAAAGTTACTTGTGAGTTACTTGTAATGGCAAAAAAGGGAACAGAAATTCGAATTTTTTGAAAGTGTGCAGAATTTATGTGCAACGGTTCGTCCACTCACATTCATTTGTGAATCAAATGTGCTAGAGAAGTCAGGTTCTGACTTAAATTGCAGTAGACTGGACGAAAATGAATTATTCACCGTTTGCAGTTACTTCGCCGATATAAATTGCTGTTTCACGCTCTGTAGGCTTTTGAAGCGCAAAAGCTCCAAGGTAAATTAAACCTGCTGTTGCTTCCGCGCATACCCGTTTAACGGTGGATACTACTGATGAGGCATGCGAGTAATATGTTTTCTCGTGACTCCGCTTAGCGGCCAGTGGAAGTTGGGATTTACAACGAGATTTGTGAACTTTCTTGTAGGATTCGCTTACATTTGAGTGGTGGTGAAGTAATAGCCGAGAAAATTCGGGAAGACGCGTTCCATAAGAAAACGGGTATTCAGTTTTTATAAACAAGATGCGTATGAGAGTTTTGCTTTCCTGCCAAGTAGTCTGTAACGATTCAGTTGTTGTTTTCTAATAAATAACTGCGCTGCAAAGGCCTTCTTCCTTCCACCAGTAGCGCTCTTCCCCTCTGTATTTCTTGATCAGCCGTACAGCTGTTTCACTCTAAACTTGCTTTTTCCGAAATTTACACAGGTTCGCCAAATGCCAAATAGTTCAAGGAAGTTGGAATGCACAAATCGGTGCACAATTGTGAGTTACTTAAAAATTTGCATTCCTAAACCCCTTCAGTGTTTTCGCGGAGCACAACATGCTACCGCTTTTTTCATCAGTAGTGAGGATAATATGTTTTCGCTGCCGTGTTGTACCCACCGTGCAAAGATGAAAGCCGGTTCACACAAGTATAAAGTGTTTATGGATTATGCCTTTATGACAAAACAGAATTCATATCATGCAATGTAACAAATTCCATTGATCATCCCCGCAGAAATCCAAATGAATGAGCACTTTCCTGATCACCTAAAATTGGAGAGAAAAGTGGGATGAGATGTGCAGTAAGATAAGAACCATGCATTCTAGGATTGTAATTTGTTGATCTGGTGGTTGTTCTATACTTACCTTGTGCATATGCTTTCTTTGCGTTTGTCTGGTCCACTGAAACTCGCTGAAAGTATGGAGGAAAGGAAGGGACTCAGGCTTTGAAGATTAACTAATCGATGTGATGCTTAGTGTTTTCGACTACTTTGGCTCACTGGAACAAATAACTAGCAACTAATGAAATCGACGTGGGTAATTGGGAGATCCGGAAATGCGAACACGTATCAACGAGCGTCAAACCAGTAAAGCGGTGTCTCAAAGAGGAATATTCCTATGTGCAAATTAACTTTCATGGTTTCTATCCTAAATTTATGAGGGATAGATTTTATGCGCATACGTACATTTCTGACCTACTTCCTCCAGGTCAAAGGAGAAATGTGTTTCGACCATGAAACTTGAATTTTACGTCGCGCTTAGTCAGTGAGTTCAGTGGTAAATCTAAATCCATTTCTGACATATTGTTGCAATGCATGGTCTCCGATTACTACATCTCACTTCAATAGATGTGGAAATAATTGGTCCACAATCAGGAACTCCGATAAAGTTTTTTTTAAATTTCTACAAAAATTTTGGAGTATAACATGCCTTTCACAGGTCAGCAGCATAGCGCACTCAAAAGGAGACCATTTTATCAGGAAAGCGGCCGGATGAAACCTTAGTGCTCGTGTTCAGTGCACTACTGTTTGAGTGTGTCTTCTCAAAGAGGTCAAATTTGAGACTGAAAACAACTGAAAGCTGTTGGTCATTTTCATTACTGTACTAAATCACCACCATCTAACCAACCTTGGGATCAACAAAAGTGACTAGCGACAGGCTTCATTTGTTGTACTCAAATGCATAATGAACTCCTAATCATGGTGCGGTGAATAGCAAAATGTGGACAGACTTAAGTTGTACGAAAAGTTCGTTTACGGTTATTTCTTCCATGAGCTTATCGGTCGTCATTACTTGATTAATAAAGGTGATATATAGAGAAGCCAATCGAAGCAACATACAAACCTATGACCAAAAGATTGAACGAATGCCCGAGTGACTGTACATTTGAAAGAAGAGTTTCGTGAACCGGCGTATGGTTGGTACAAGGGTGATATCGCTGTCACCGTTGTCGGTAATGATGGTAATTAAAAAGATTTTAGTGACAAGCATGAGCATGGTGAGACTGGTACTTGTTTAATATTGGTGGCACTGATAATGTTATACTGTTTGCCACATTGTCTAGAAGGGGAGAAATTTGGTCAATTTCCCTTCAGGCTCTCTTCTAATCCGAAGTTTCTGAGCTAAATACCGTACGCAGCTAGTTGTGCGACACAAAGTCCCGCGTGTTAACATACTTTGATTTGCTGAGACGCGGAATTAATTCGACAGAAACCTAATTAAATCTTTTATCTCGTCTGGATATTATTTGCATCATAGTTTCACAGTAAAATTAGAGAATGAAAGAAAACAAAACGCCGATTTTCAAACTAAATACAACTAACTATTTATCGCCAATCAGTGGAGTGTACACATTATTTAAATGAATAAAGACAGTCCTATAGACAGAATTGAACTATTTACCTAAAAGAAGAAGAGCATCTGTGCAGCTCCTCTCCACTCTTGTAAGCTTTTATTTGAGCACTCAACAGGTCGCAGTCGGGGAGCACGGATTACTCTTTAGCTCTCCCTTATTTGCAATACCAAGTATCTAATCACTGCCTAACATGAAGTGCACCGGCGCTTGCGCCATTTTTTAAAAACATCACATACGCAAGGGAATTGAAAACACTGGTCCTTGAGATTCTTTTAACAGCAATCGGAGCTGCCGTGGAGTTTATTGAACAGGTATGATGGCTGTGTAGCTAGCGAAATCAAGTAGATTGATTTGAAAACGCCCCCAAACCATCAGCAAGAGTTCATACTTCTCCAACCGAGGTCTCGTGAGCGTATAGAACTGTCGCATCTGGTGACACAATATAACCATCGAACTGAGTTGAACGATATGTTACACACAATGTTGGAACACATCAGCATGGTGTTACCGGCTCCATAATATCTGGGGTCTCAGTAATTCCCCCAAAATGGATTTACGACCAAATTGTTGCTTGATATGAATGTCGACCAATCAGGCCTCCGGGTTGTGTGCTTGTCGGAGTAGCCAATCGTTCCATGCATTACGGAAAATCATTGAATGTCGTTGCGACGAGGGTGCACAAAACAGTAGTATAGTACTAATGCGACGGACTTCCTGAGTTAGCTTTTGAAGCAATTCTAATATGCAGAGTTGACCAAAAACTAATGTGGTCACAGGGCAGCTAGATTTCCACAGCCGCTTTCACTGAGTACAGTCTGCTTCATTATCATGGATATGATGAGCAATATCTTTTGATACAAGTGAGCACACACATAAATGAATGAAACCATTAAACAGAACAAGTCATCACATATCCATCGGTAGAGTGGTGGAGTGAGAGGTGGCCAACGTCCACAGCAGCTTTCCCTGTGTAACAGCTGAAGTACAATGCCAATTGAGAACTAAAGTTATTTCATATAGCTTTCGCTTACTTTTCCCCAGCACAGTATAGTGCCCAGCACTGATAGCACAGATTAATGCTTTAACAACTATGAAACTAGAAAGCTTACTTGTGTTGCGGACATTCGGTGTATGAGTGCAATAGTTTCCCCCGTAAATATATCATCGTTGAATAATGTGTCCGGTTTTTTTCACAATTTTTTTACATATCGTGGCATAGGAATATATTCGATTGATTTTGTGTGAGTTGAGAATTTGGGTGTCCTTATACCACAAACAGTCTATAACTAGCCTAGAGGAAGAATGAACTTTACCCGAGGAGGGAAACTTCATCTGATGAGTCGACACTTAAGGAAACAGTAAAAATATATGACCCCGTAATGTAGATCCCGTGACTAAAGGACGATCGGCGCTATGTCCTGTCTTATTGCTTCCTGATCACATCGATGATCAGTCCTTCATGGCTTAGCGATTAACTGTTTGAACCACTAGCCTGTATTTCACAGATTTGAGATTACACAGAGTTTCGTGAATCGCGCACGGGTCATGATTCCCACTGGGGATGGATCAGCTGTACAGTGTTCCGTGGCTTCTCAGCACAGCTTATCCTAACTTACTGGATGAAACTTCCGCCAAGTTTATTTTACGAACGCCCGCTCTATGCTCATGATTATTCTTTCAATCGGTAAATTAGATGGTGACCCTCAAGGCTAAAAATTATCTCAAGATTTCTGGTCCGGTAGGTGCCGGATCATTGATGATATGTTTAATTTTGGTATCTAACAACTTTCCTTCGTTTAGTAGAAGAAGGAAAGTCTTGATGGGACATCGAGTGCGAAAGTATTTTGTCGGAGAGCAAACACCCAAAATTTTCACCGATGAAGGCCGTTTCCTGCCTACGGTCTGTCGTCGGGTGGGGGTGATTTCTAACAAAAATACGGATTTTAATTTATATGTTTAAAATTCTCCATGAACGTAAAATTTCATTATATTTCCACTTTGCAAGTTGTGCCACACCTACCTTGATGCCAGTATTTCTCCGCATACCCATTTCTTGTAGAAGTTCCCTTGCAACTACTCGCAAACGACGCAACTCATCAGCCGGATTGGCCAACTGCTCTGGATAGCCGTATTCAATGGCGTCTTCCACATTATCCAAATAAATTGGACTTGATTGACTGGGATGCGCTTGCCAACAGACATACAGTAAAAAGTACACGGTCATTTGCAGCCTTGATTTCTGTCTTTGCATTGATGTGCCAGCCTTCATTCTGTGTATAGCACGCCAACTTCTGTAAGAAAAATAGATAAATAACCGTTAATTTTTGGACCACAGTTGCTTAACACAAAAATGAGTATTTATAGTGCATAAAATTTGGTTCAACCTAGTCAAGTTCTGTCAATTTAAACATTAGAAAACTTTTTTCTATCTCAGAACTGCACTTGCCTTACAATAAATCACACTAAAACAGTTGTCTATAACATTCTTACCCCCTAAAGCCCCCGTTTCCTAGCGACGTAACTGGTTGCTGTAGGGAATCTTTAGTTAATTTTCACAAGCTATCACCCAAAACCGTACTAAATGAGCCAGCACAGGTGCACCGAACGTAACGGTCGTGGGTGAAGATTGAAAAACGTCTTTACATGTTAAAAATTTAAAAATGAAGTCTTGCGTTAATCTGTATAATGTTACACCTTGACCTATATCATATTTATGGTAGTGAAAAAATTAAACAGGTGCGCAAGGCCCTGTGTAAACGAATCCGCTTAATTATCAGTTCTTCGTGATGCTGAGTAGACTCTAGAATATTTGAGTACGCTTAAATAATTAATTTCAATGCTCTGTGAAGTCTTCCCTGGCATTTTGTTCTCATGGTTAGATGCCCTTTTGTGGGAAACAAGCATCTCATGAAGAAGGATGACACTTCTTGATCGTTATATTCTCTGCAGCGGCATTAAATTAAGCCACGATATATTCATCAGCCAGACTCAGCAGGTGAACAGGCTTACGAAGTTTGTGCTGTCTTTCAAAAAATCTAATACTAGAGTTTTTCAGTTGGCGCGCAAAGATTTTTGCGTAAAGGCAGCTTTCTAGGCCATATAGCAAATTACTGAAGCCATAACTCGGTAGCCTAAATTCGACTCAGCGCTTAAACTTAACCCACTGACCTTGATTGTAAAACCTTGATGGCATTCGTGACATATTTGGCACGCATTACATGTTTAGCCAACCACTGCTGAAGATCGAACGCAATTATCTATTTATTCCTATTTCCGCATTGGTGAAACCCCTTTACAGGGGGTTGTCGCTGCTAATAATTTCTAAGCTTATAAGCAAAGAGTTTACATATTTGTCTTCCAAAAGGCTGTATACAAGTAGCAACAGTTCCAGGGAGAAATCTGGCTTCGCGTACGCGTCAGTGGTAAGTATTCCATGGATTGTGCTCAGCGCACACAGTAAGCTGCTGTAAGGCTACTATCCGTCTAATGTAGCATTGATGATTTTCCATTTGTTCATTGAATTCCCAAATATTTTTATAGAGATCGTCGTGCAAGCAGACGGTCGGAAAGCAGTAGCAAAGAAGCGAGCAATTCTCATAAAATCTTCACATTTCGTGCAGATCGGAAAACGCGATTTCGAAAATGGGGCTGGGTCGTCCGTTTTCCCCATCAACAAATCCGTTGGTAGTCATGCGATATGATATATATGCCAGTGGAGTCAATATATTTATTGATCAAAAAAGAAGGCTCATCGGAAAACTGGTAATTTACAAAAGTTTTGCGTTAAACTGGTCATATTTTTACGGTTTATTTGAATTTTTTCGACTTTTCCGAACACGTTGGGGGTCAAGTTACTACATATGTTCCCGTGCTTACGCTGAAAAATGTGTGTTTTGGGGAAACCGTAATTTCGCACCTCATGGACTGCAAACTCACAGAGAATAAATAGATTTGCACGAAATTGTGTTCGGCTATGCAGGTTTTCCCTTACATATAGACATACTCAATCTGAATCTGATTTGCGAGAGAAGGATGAACTGGACAATTACTTTCTGTCCATTAGATATTATGAAGTACAACAACGAATACCACCGAAGCGCAGCCGTACTTACAGTCCCATATTTTAATGAATGATCACCAAATCGACGCTATGTCTGATGCAGAAAAAAACTATGGTCTCACTGAGGAATTATTTTAAACCACTTACACTGTGGGAGCGCAATTTTTGTCACTTATGTTTACACACTACTGAGGGATTCAAAGAGTACTGGTTCGGTCTATGCTCAGTCTTGTACATCACATGCAGAGGATTTGTTCAGTTTATCAACTGTCAAAGCGTAAAATTTGATGGAAAGAATAGGAATAGAACTAATGAAATCGTTAGCTGTTTTGTGCCCTTAAGTTGAACTTTGCAAATGATACATCTACCTCTTGAGTGAGTGATATATATGCAAGACAACATTTGTTTGACCGTTACAAAGGCTTTTTGTGACCAACATTATAAAACTGCTCACAAGCACGTCAAAATAAACAATATTTAATCAAGATTTAGTAGACAGGAAAAACCGCGCTAACACACTTAACGCAATCCTATGAAAATTTGCCTAGCTTACTTTGATCAACAGTAGCACCCAAACTTTAATATAGGCTCATGGTAGGCGGTTCTGAGTCAGACCTTGAGGAATATTTCATATTGTGCCGTATTGTTCATTAAATTCAGAGGATCGGTAAACGCTAGTTGACATAAACAAGCCCCGCAATTCTTGGCACAACGCACTTTTCATATCGTGACTGAAAACTCTTCAACAGCTCATGACCGATTTCGCTTCACTTGAAGAGGATGAAACAGGTGCAGCCCCTAAGATTCTGCTACTCTATCGTTAACAACAACTTAATTTACGGCTTTTGACCTGTCACGTTACAATATTTTGTTCAAGATAGGCAAAATATCCGAAGACTGCTTCTAAATAGTGAGCCACAAGATGGAAGGAACGTTTCTTTGGAGTAGCAGTACTACGTTTCTCTTGAAAATTATACAAAATATCATCAATATCCTACCGACCGAAATCTAAGGCGACCAGTATGCAAGAAGTTCGGCTGAAGAAGATCACAGATGGAGGATTCAGCTAGGATTTAGTTGAATCTTCCGTGAACACCAACACAACTGCAGATGACTAGATTCGGCCAAAATGTTTTTTGCATCCGGACTCTAAAGGTAGTGCAGCCTATGCACTCAACCCAGAGCCTCATGTCATGCAACACGTGTGGATGCAGCCAAGATTGAAGCCGATCCAAAACACGTTTGCTACTTTAGCTTAAGCTGCTTCTAATAAATTCAGATGGACGCCCTGGGGATCTTTCGGCGCGGGGTTCCGATAGTCTTTGAAAGTAAGTTGCACGCCTTAAACCATCGTCATTTTCTCTAATATAATGGATTAATTCGCTGCAAAACTTTCTTGAGACCTTAAAACGTTATGAGGAGTGTGCAAAAAAGTACAGAAGTATTCTGTGCAACCAGATATGCGGATAGGAGCATGGATTAAGTCTTTCTCAGTCGACAGACAGTCGTTCGTCGTCAATGCTGCGACTGAACTAGGTGATTTAGCTGCTTTTTATGGATATCTTTTAACGTTTGATCACAATGCACACACACATGCATATATGCATGGAGAGTACCGCACGTGCAATTGCCAGTGCACATGACTTTCAATCACTGACTGGACTTTAGTTAATAGCACTGATAATGTTTCAATATCAGCCATGTCTATTCTTGCCTGAACACATTTTTCAGAGTTTTTTTAAAACCCTTTGACAAGACCCGTTTTGACCACCTCAACAGTCCTCGGGTCCCTTTCAGCCTCATGTTCTATTTGGACTCAAATCGTACTCAGATTGCGCTTTCTGAAGTGCGAAGTGCGAAGCACGGCAGGGTCTATTAGAAAGAGTCAAGGTGTGTTCTCACTTTAACAGTATTAGTCATTTCACAGCCGTTGTTTTGTTAGCTGAGCTGGACAATTTTTGTCTGCAGACGTTTCATTGTCAATCAAGAAGACGTCATCAGTGCGATCTTAGGAGGCACAGTGGAGCATAGCAATGGGTCGGTGGTTGTACTTTTCATTTTATTTTTGTTGTCCACATCAATGAGCCGGATCCATTGCAATGTTGATGGATGTCATTAGTTACCGTTCATACTGGAAGCTGAGAAGTTATTCCACATGAGTGATCATCATCCTGGCATGAATATCTTTGCTGGAGAGTATCACGCACCGAATTCATCCATGAGAGTATTTTGCTCACAACTAGTGTGTAGACCACTGGGCAACATAGAGAGAGTAGGAGATCCATATGATATTATATTCTGACACTGAGATATTAATTATTCTCTCTCATTTTCTGCTTAGATTATTGCGGCAGTCTGAGGGCATCGCACCGCTTGCTTGGAAACAGGCATTGCTTTTTTTTACGTCTTCTGCTACTATAATTTGAGTTCGAGTTCATTCCAGCTGGTAGAATGAAGAAAAGCTCGATATTGGGCTATCCTTAAGACGTTTGTATTTGAACACTTGAAGGATTATTTTCGCTAACCACGACCATAATTAGACAGCAAAATGAGAGTTCTCCACAAGACAACGCCATGTACCGTACCTTTCAACTCATCGAGAGTTGCCTATAGTTCAGATGAAAAAACGCATTTTCTTTGTGCAGCGGAGGACCTGTGGAAAACAACTGAGACTATTTAACCCTGAAAGGCTGTACTAATGGCCTCTCCAAACCGAAATCAAAGTATGGCGTCAGGTTGCCTGGTGATGCCCATACAATGCATCTGGAAACAATCTGTAGAGTTGTCCAGGTGAAATAATTGGATTGTGATTTCATTGATGCCTTCCAACTTGGTTAACCCTTGGATGGTCCGATAGCGGTATTATAACCGTGTACTTTTTTCATGATTTCTTGTTCAAATTTATCGGGCGTTTTGCATGGCCTGCCGACCATGAAATAGTTAATCACGGAAAACTTGTGCGGTGGCACAACCTTGTCATCGGGCAAACAAACACGCATGCAAAAAATTCATGGTAATCGGGACCTCTCACTGGCTCACTTCACAGAACATGCGATGTATGAGCCATTGGAAAATGCGTGATCAAAATACGTTTCATCTGAAACTACAGTCTAACAGAAACCCTATTCCAATTCATTTCCATGGGGTTCTGCCTACGCCACTGTGGTTGTTGCAGGTGGATACTGGTATCCTAATGAGCTGTGAAATCT